TAGGTCCCCCTTGCTAGCTCATAATGGGTAAAATGAGGATCAAGAATTATGAAATAATTTGAAATGTTATATAAGAGAATGTATATAATGTATATTGATACGTTATACAAATATATTGTTAATTTTAGATAAAGATTCAAAAATTAATACTATGTATTTTGAGAATGGGGGCTAATGTCACGGAAGAGAAAAATCCATATTTTCTACATAGGAATTCAAAAGAAGAAGATATCCTTATGGTCTTTGGATTTTCCCTAGGAATGCTAAAAATCTTTCAACTCTCTTACTCTTTCAATCCCTTGCAATTGGATCCCACAATCTGGATTCTCGATTGAAAGACTTAGCAAGGAAGATCAAGTGGTGTTGTCTCATTGGGTTTACATGAAGAAGAGTTTTCAAAGGTAAAATCCAACATTCTTCCTTGTTTTATATTTTTCTGTGTTTTAAATTTCAAAAGAAATTCAAGAACGCGTTATACTGCTTTCGCTTCGAGATTCACATCCTTTCATAGAGATACTGAGCTAATAGCATGACATGACATATTCTCATCCCCCTATTGGAGACATAAAATTGGCTGTACGATCTGACCCCATGACATGACATGTTTTCATCCCACTAACGGTGGAGAGATCGAGCCAATAGCATGCAAGGACATGTTCTCATCCCTCATTAGAGACATCAAACTGGCTACGCGATCTGACCCCATGGCATAACATGTTCTCATCACATTGGCGGTTAAATTGTCATTCACTAGAGATACGGAGTTAGCATGACATGTTCTCATTCCATTGATGGTCGTACAATCACACCCACAAAAGATCTTGTCGTTCACATTTTGGGATCTGATTAGAGTCTACCATATTGCTTCTCCGGCTTGTGTTGCTTCAATAATCTTTTTGTTGGTTGAGCAAAACTTCGATCTATTGAATTTGTTCCCAAAGACGACGCTAATTGTTAATGTGGCAATTTGGCATTTCGGGATTTATAAAATTGCATCAATGTTCAAGAATAAAAAGGGATTCGACAGATCTGCAAAATAGAAGAAGTTACACAATGGTGTGGTACTAGCCATATACACTCTGATGCTTAAGTCAGAATCGGGGTTTAATGTGAAGCGTAGCAATAGGTAGGATTTTTGTCGAGTACCTTGATTGTGAGGTTTTTCTCTTTATTTAGATGTGAGAACTCTAGGGTTGACAAAAGATCTTCTCTTCTTAAATAGTTTTTGCTTTAGGAGATAACACCATCGTGGGTAGGACGGTACAAGAGAGTAGGAGTCGACCCATCATCTAGCTTTTCGTAGAGCACGAAACTCACGAATAGGCGCTGGCCAACTGACCACTAGGACCCAAAACCTAGTAAGCCATATGTTGTACGGTTTAGAACCTTTTGTGCAAGTGTACACAACCATTGTAGCAAGCGATAAAAAGATTGTATTCATAGGGATTGATAACTAAATACTTCAATGTTTACTTAAGAAAACAAATAAACTTAACCAAAATATGTTTAATAAGGTAGCTTCTGAAACTAAACCGAAATAGTGCAAGAACATTCACTGAGTAAGAAAACAAGTAAAGAAAACAATTAAAATCAGTCTGGTTATAGAGTAAAATGGGTTTTAATGTGGGTTAACTATTGATGTAACAAGGGTAAGGGGAAGAGTTTATGTGACTTTTTTCTGGGCTCACGTAAACAATTCTACAACATTAACGATGTTGATATATTGGCCAAACAGACATGGAATCTTCCCAGACTTCTCAGATTTTATGATATTTAAGTTTTGAAACAAACCAAAACAGCATACCATCACAGTTTATAGCCTTATTAGGTGAGCCTTATTCCTAAGTACCCATACTCTAAACTCAAGTAGATCTAGCACGAGTTGAAGCCAAACACTCCTTATTCCAATTTTCCAAAAGCTAATAAAAAGGTATTCCAATATGTTGGCCAAGCACATTGGAAATCAAACTTCAAAAACAATTTCAACTCAATATATATATCATCATTAAAGTCAAAGCAAGATTTACAGCCCAAAATTAGTTCACAACATCCTCCCCTTACAATAGGAACTTAGTTATGCAATGTCATACAAGAAAATGGTAGGAGAAAATACAAAACTTGTGCACTAAAGAGTACAAAAGAAGAAGAAAATGAAGAAACACAGCAGCCCATCACTATATCAACTCCCTTTGTTATCTTCTTTGGGTTCCTCTCCAAGTGTCTACCCTCATCTCTTGTCTTGTTCTCCCTAGGGTTTGATTGATGAAGAATCAATGGAGACAACCTTGAAGGAAAGCATTTATACCCATCCTTAATTTTACGGCAACCAAAATGGATAAAAACGGGGCCCAACTCAATTTAAGGTGAATTTGCATTTTACTGCAGTAAATTCTCAGGTAAAAATATGTCACTGTCAGCTCTGTCCTTTTCTACCTTTTTGATTCCGATGTTGCAGCATCAACAATGATGCATCAAAACATTCAAAATTAGGCTATTTTTTATAACTCTCAGCATTGTATACTAAGGTAAAGATGTTAATGAATGCAAAACATTATTTGCACAAAATTAGTGTAGAATTGGTGTTAGTGTGGTCATCCTTAGCTAATTTATATGGAATTCTTGCACAAATAACTCTCAGGCTCATCGGCTCTTATGGTTTTGTTCGTCCGTCAAGCCTTTAGATCTTTCTGCTCTTCTTTCCTCCACTTTGGGCCCATCCCGAGTTTCCCCGCTACTCATGGGCTCGTATCTCATTTGTTAGATCTAGCTTCATTCTCCCATTACACTCTGTAAAGGCAATAATGAAAAATATTTTAAATAGTGTAGGAGAATAACATCTGGCATAACTCTGTAATTATTTTGATATTTTATAAATATTTTTAAAATTATGCTAGATATTTTTAGATAACTTGGACTAAATGGCATTTTAATAATTCATTTCAAAATATCTGAACATTAAAATAAAAGTCAAAATATCATTATCTTGACAATCATACCCCGTCTCATTAGTGGGTTTTTCTTTTCAATTTTTTTAAAGAATTCAAAATTTTTCTTTCAAGGATTTTTTTTCTTGAAATAATACTGCATTTGAAGATCTTTTTTTCTTTAATTTTTAATTTTTTTTGAAACTTCATATTAACATTTTGACAACATTACAAAACTTTAAAACATTAAGAAAACAACAAATAAAGATTAACTTTAAAAAGTTAATTTCTTTTTTACTTTTCTTTTTCCTTACAGAATTATATAGACTGGACCTCCAAGATTTGAAAAATTAATTTAAAAAAATAAAATTCTATTAATTGTTTGTTCAAGATGATTCAAAAACTGTTTTTTCTAAAATAATTCCATTTAATCCGGAATTTTGTAATTGTGGGATGGATTGCCCTTTCCAATCCAATATTTAAGAATTACCTGGTTTGGAAAGATAATTTTTGGGAATGAAAATAATTGTAACTGCATTATTTTTTATAATCATTATAAAATATTGTTATTCAAAGTTTCAATAAGGTCCCTGTGATTTAGTTAAACTTCACAAGTATCCTCACTGTTATCATATGGATATATTTTTTTTTCCATGCCGCAATTTTCTATTTTATAACTATTTTAGTTGAGTGTGTTGAGATTTAAGGCTCAGTAAGAAAATGAAATAAAGTAAGTGGATTTTTGAAGGGGTAAAACAAATTTTAGAGAGGACTTGTGAGATTTAACCAAATTATAGTAACAAAATTGAAACTATGCATAAATTAATAAACCATATTGAAACTTTTAAAATCATAGAGACAAAATTGAAGCGAGCCTTGATCATGAAAACTAAATTGAAACTTTTAGAACTATAAGGATTGAATCGAAACTTTGTCCCAATCACAGGATCAAAATTTATAATTTAACCTATTTTTAAATTAGAAAGAACTTTCAAATATTTTGTTTTTTTTTTTTTTAACTCAATAACCCATGAGAGTGAAAATTCGAATATCTAACCCATCGAAATACATGGTTTAATAGGTTAAGCTTTAACAAATTGATATTTCTAGCTTCATTTATCATACGCTCTCTGACAAAGTCTTTGGACTTTGAGAGCATAAGCCAGGGGAGAAATGGGTGAGAGTCTTGAGAGGGAAAAAAAGTCGTCGTTTTCTTCATGATTTTTCTCATAAGTTTCTTTATCATTTTCTTTTAAAAAATTGCTTCTTCTACCATTTTTTTTTCTTTTCTTAGACACTTAATCTAGGTAAGCTTTCACATCAACTGCCACGTCAAATTTTCATTCAAAATATCAATTGATATTTGTTGATATTTTTAAAATATTTATATTATGTTTAATGATGGTATTCTTGCATTAATAGATGTATTTTTGGAAAATACTTATGCTACCGTGAAGATATATCTATTTCTATGCTGAATATTAATATTTGACAGTTAATAGAGAAATGTAAAAATTAATGAGCCGTCAATTTTTCAACCGACCTAACAAATACTCACAGCCAAAGCATTTTTTGGTATTTTTTAAACAAATGATAGAGTTAATAGGTATTTTTGAAGTAAGGCATTACTAGCTTCATTTCTCTCACGCTCACCTGACGAGGTCTTTGCCAAATGTCCATGCTAACATGTCGACATGTTAGCATTTCTCTTCCACATTTCGTGGACATGGGGAAAAACGACATTCTCTCCCATGTGGCTCGAAATTTGAAACACTGGTCCTTGGACGAGGAGATCAATAAGCCAGAGGGGAGAAATGGATAAGCTCCGAGAGGGAAGCATCATGACTCATGACAATGGCGATGGGCGTGAAAAAGAAAGGAACAGAGAGGGAAGCAATTATTCAAACCCCACAAAAATTCATAGGAGAAAGGAAAAATTAGTGCATATATGTTGGTGAAAGCGAAACTGCAGAATATAGAAGAACCTTTTTCTCTTCCAAAACAAGAAGCAACTTTAGAACAAAGGGTCCTTTTTCTTTCTCCATTATATGCCGATTTGAGTTAAATGCGTTAGTGGGGTAGCTCCTACCTAACATCCAACTGTGAGCTTTAAATTGCTTGATCAAAATATCAGTGATAACTGATAATTACATCGACCTACCAGCATTCAAGAGATGCGACCAGAGATGAAGAGGGGAAATGGTCAATTGCTTTTTTGTTTCAGGTTTACTAAAGAAGGGAATAATCGATTCGCGTGTGTGGTGCCGTTGGGAGCGAAAATATGGGGGCGATTGTGGCGGTGTCAACTCTGCAAACGCTGCTACTTTTGGCTTTCTTCTACTCGGCCGCTTCCTATATTGATCCCCGTGATTGTAAGTTTCTACTTATTGATCCCCTGCGCTGATTGTTTCTATATTTATTTCCTCAATCGTCTCCCATTTGGAAGAATACAGACAAGATTTCATTAAATAATCGATTTCAAATGTTTTGTGTAGTCTCTTCGCAAACACTATCGAATTTTCTCGCCCACTTTTGTTGTTTTATCGGGTTGACTTACTTTTTTTATGAATTAGTTTACCATATAATGTTGAGAACAACATAGAGGAGTCCGAATTGAAACTTTTTAAGAGTCTAGGGACTAAATAGAAACAGATGTAGAACTTAGAGAATAAACTTGTAATTTAACCCCTTTTTTTTAATTATTCTTTTGAAATTAGAATTTGGGTTACTGTGGATTTGACTTTTGGTTTGAACTTCTTTTGCTTTAGTTGCTATAGTTACAATCTGTTAGAGAGATCGTTTAGGAAGTATGGAAAGAAGCGAAGTCTTGAATACAGTTTAACCGTGAATGTTAAGCAATTGTGCAGTTTCGGTGCTTAAATCCTTGAAAGATGGATGGCAAAATACACCACCAAGCTGGGGAACGTCAGATGATCCCTGTGCAGCTCCCTGGGAAGGAGTAATTTGCAAGAATTCAAGAGTAACTGCATTGTAAATATCTATTATTTATCGTTGGTAACATTTCTCTTCCATTTATTTTTACTCACCTCTTAGCAATATTTGTACAAGGTTTCAGTGCTGTTCCTTTTTCTTTTTAATATTTTGGTTAAACCATTCACTAACTATGTGTGTTAACCTCTTTAGGAGATTATCAAGTATGGGCCTAAAAGGTAAACTTGGTGGTGACATCGGAGGCCTTTCTGAACTGAGATCATTGTAAGTAGCATTGTTATCTTTGTGGTTGATTTAACAGGAGCACATTTTAGAGTATGTAATAATTTGAATTCTGACCATACTTTCAAGAAAGGTTTCTATCTTCCAGTTTAGGAAGCAGTCTCATATTTGTTCATTGAGACCATTGAGTTTCTAATGTTTTAATTGCAGGGACCTTTCATCCAATCGAGGTCTCACTGGTTCGATCTCTCCAGCGCTGGGGAATCTGCCGAATTTGAATACCTTGTAAAGAGCTAATTAGCAAACAGATTCGGTCCCATTAAACTTTTTTGTTTTTTTTTTTCCTTTTTAGTGCTAAGATATTTTTTTCATTTTCAATTTTCAACTTTCAGGATCCTGTCTGCTTGTGGGTTTAGCGGTAGTATTCCAGAAGAATTGGGCAATCTTGCTGAGCTTTCCTTCTTGTGAGAAAAATTTATTAATAAGCAAATAAGGAACTTGTTTGTTTATATTTTAACTAGAATTTTCATATCCCAGGGCTTTAAATTCTAACAACTTCACTGGTACCATACCACCAACTTTGGGAAAACTCTCCAAACTCTATTGGCTAGACTTGGCAGAAAATCAGTTGACGGGTGCTCTCCCGGTTTCAACTTCCAATTCCCCGGGTTTGGATCTCCTTCTTGAGGCAAAACATTTGTGAGTATTATTTTCTTCGAGTAACCCAATCTAGTGTGCAAATGAAAGCATATATCTAAAAAGTTAGATGTTTCTTCACCCCCAAGAACTTTAAAATTAAAGCTTGACTTTGTGAATTGCAGTCATTTCAGCGGAAACCAGTTATCAGGTACCATTTCACCTAAAATTTTTAGCTCCGAGATGATATTATTACACATGTAAGTGGATATCAACCCAAGACTCTGTTCCATCTTTTTTTTGTCCCAAATCTTACCCGGTTCTTTCATCAGATTATTTGATGGAAATAAATTTTCTGGGAGTATCCCATCAACATTGGGACTTGTTAAGACTCTTGAGGTTCTGTGAGTATAAGTTACTTTGCCCTTAGTTCTCACACAATTTTCTCTCTACAACTTACTGAAGTTGTTCAAATATTTAACAGCCGACTTGATCGAAATTATCTAACAGGAAATGTCCCATCAAATCTAAGCAGCCTAATAAATGTCAATGAATTGTGAGTATTCATCTTGTAAATATTATGACAAAGCTTCTGGTCTTTTATGGGTAGTTAATCAACTTCCTTTTCTGTCCCCACTCTTGTGTGCTACTTTCAGGAATTTAGCCTACAATAAGCTGATAGGTCCACTGCCAAACTTGACTCAAATGACTTCACTAAATTACGTGTAAGCATATGGCAAGGAGCTAACATTTCCATTTTGATCTTCTTATTACTCATGTATTTAACTAGTGAAGTTTTATCTTTACAGGGACCTTAGTAACAACTCATTTGATTCATCAGCAGCTCCGGAGTGGTTCACAAATCTACCATCGCTCACCACTCTGTAAGTTCTTAGGTCACCCATAAAACTTTTGACAAGTTCTCGAGAAGTTTGAGATCTAATGGTAAATTTCTATGCTAACATGGTTCTAGGATCATTGAATATGGGCCGATACGAGGAAATGTGCCACAAGGAGTCTTTAGCTTACCACAAATTCAACAAGTGTAAGCTTTGATTTAAGCATTATGGTTAAATTTTGAATCGCAACAAAACAGTTTAATATATTTTAAGGGTCATTACAGAAAACTGAAGAACAATGCATTAAGTGGGACATTAAATATGGGTGACAGCATCAGCCAACAATTGCAGCTCGTTGATTTGCAAAATAACAATATTCCTTCAGTTACCTCTATTTCAGGATATACCAAAACTTTGATGTGAGAAAAATCCTTAGCCATTTTCCTCGATATTAGATTTCATGTTGTACTTTGTGGCTTATCTTTATTCATTCATACGAGTGTTGCGTGTTTTAGGCTGACAGGAAATCCGGTGTGTAGCGTTGATGCGTTCTCAACTATGAATTTTTGCCGGCTTCAAAAGCAGCCAACGGAATCTTATTCTACTAGCCTTGTCCACTGTGGAAGCAAGTCATGTCCTCTTTATGAGGAGCTGAACCCTCAGAGTTGTGAATGTGCATATCCATATGAAGGGACTTTATACTTTAGAGGACCCTCGTTCAGGGAATTGTCCAATATAACTCTGTTTCATTTACTGGAAATGAGTCTTTTGGATGCATTCAACCTCACGCCTTCTATTCAAAATCCTTTCTTGAATGTTCAAGATTATCTCCAAATGAAGCTGGCACTTTTTCCACCTGATAAGTATTTCAATCGGTCAGACATTCAGAGGATTGGGTTTGATTTGCATAATCAAACTTACAAACCTCCCCACAAGTTTGGGCCATATTATTTCATCGCATTTCCTTATCACTTTTCAGGTAATCTTAGTTATCATTTTACATCAAAATGTCACTTGGTTGTTATGCTTTAGCATTAGCCATGATGAACTGATGCCAAATGCATAAATTCCTCAAGACATGAATAGGGAAACTTCAACCAGTTACGGAGTGGTAATTGGAATAGCTGTTGGCGGTGCCTTTCTCGTTCTATGCCTCATTGGAGTTGTAATATATGCAATTCGGCAAAAGAAACGTGCAGAAAATGCCAAGCCATTTGGTAAATGATGTTAATCACTGTTGCTTTTAGGTTAAATTATATGGTTGGATTATTAACTTTAGTATTGTGTTTATTTAGTCTTTGTACTTGTAAAAAATTTCTAATAGGTCCTTAAGTTTACAAAGTTGTGTTTGGTGGCATAATCGGTAAACTAGCGGAGTTAACACAGACCTATTAGCTACAAAATTGAAAGTTGATGGACCTTGTAGGAAATTTTAAAGTACAAAGACTAAATAGACACAACCTATTGGTCGATGGAAGATATTAAGTATTGACCAAATAACACTGATGTTATATCTACCCCAGCTTTATGGGCACCAAGTGGAGACGATAGTGGAGGTGCACCACAATTAAAGGGAGCCAGATGGTTTTCTTATGATGAACTGAAAAAATGCACAAATAATTTCTCCATGAGCAATGAGATAGGATCCGGAGGATTTGGCAAGGTAAATGTTTCCCGATTGTTCTTTCTTGTTTTCTTTTCTTTTACGATTAGTTGTTTTAGCACTGTCATCATCCTTGGTAGGTATACAGAGGAGTTCTTGTGGATGGAAAAGTAGTTGCAATCAAAAGAGCTCAACAAGGATCAATGCAGGGTGGCCTTGAGTTCAAGACAGAAATTGAACTGCTTTCACGAGTTCATCACAAGAATCTTCTTGGCCTTATTGGATTTTGTTTTGAACAAGGAGAACAGATGCTTGTTTATGAATTTATGCCTAATGGAACTCTTAGACAGAGTCTAGCTGGTAAGTTTCCACGGATATCTCGGGTTGTTTGGCCGATTTTATGTCAGAAAAGCGACGTGAAATTGAAGTTGGGATTATTTGATCACGCTAGATTGGAGCCCGTTCTTTTAGTTCAGCTCCCTTTTGTTGGGCTGTTTTCTTATACGCCCTTTTCTACACTTTCATTTTTTTCAATGAAAGTTCAGTTTTAATTATAAACGTAACCGAGAATAACATGTGCAACATTGGCTTAGGGAAATCCGGTATTTATCTTGATTGGAAGAGAAGACTTCGTATTGCACTTGGATCTGCTAGAGGATTGACTTACTTACACGAGCTCGCGAATCCTCCCATAATCCATAGAGATGTTAAGTCAACCAACATTTTGCTGGATGAACATTTAAATGCAAAGGTTGCAGATTTTGGTTTGTCCAAGCTTGTCTCAGATAGTGGAAAGGGACATGTTTCTACTCAAGTTAAAGGGACATTGGTAAGTAGTTTATTCATCATCTCTATGTTGTGTCAGCATTTTAGTCAACATTTTTCTAATACCTGTAGCTAGGGATGAGGAAATCTTAGTCTACTTAGATAGCTAGGGATGAGGAAATCTTAGTCTACTTAGAAACTTCATAACCATTTCGTCTTTTGTTTTTTACTTTAAAAAATTAAGCTTATAAACATTATTTTCACTCGTGTTTTTCTTTGTTTTTTTTCTTAATTTTAAATATTTTCAAAATCTAGGGTAAATTTTGAAAATAAAAAAAGCAGTTTTCAAAAACTTGTTTTGTTTTTGAACTCTGGTTAAGAATTCAAATATGTTTTCAAGGGAGGTGAAAAACTTACGGATGAAATGGTACAAAAACAAGCATAATTTTGAAAAACAAAAAACTAGAAACGAAATGGTTATCAAACGGCACCTAAGTAAATAATCTCTTGGAAACGTTTCTTACAAATAAGAAACGAGAAACCTGAATAGCTACTGTAAGAAACGAGAAACCTGAATAGCTACCAAACACATATGTTTCTTAAAAGCTGGAAACGAGAAGCAAGAAACTGGAATGTTATCAATTGTCTAGACTTTAACATGCCCATTAGCATAGAGTTCTCTCTCTTCTTTTTTTTTTTTTTCCATATTATTCTCTCATATTGTCCATGACATTCATTTGTAGGGTTATTTGGATCCCGAATATTACATGAGTCAACAATTGACCGAGAAAAGTGACGTGTACAGCTTTGGAGTCGTTATGTTGGAACTGCTAACTGCTAAGTTGCCAATTGAGAAAGGAAAGTACATAGTTCGCGAGGTGCGTTTGTTGATGAATAGGAGTGATGAAGAATATTATGGTTTGAAGCAGATTATAGACGAGACGATAATAGATAATACAACGAAACTTGTCGGGTTCGCAAAGTTCTTGGAATTGGCCATGCAATGCGTTGAAGAATTAGCTGCAGACCGCCCCACAATGGGTGAAGTGGTTAAGACAATTGAGAGCATTTTGCAGAATGATGGAATAAATACGAACGCAACATCTGCATCTTCATCTGCCACAGACTTTGTGACTTCCAAAACTGCTCCTAGGCATCCCTACAATGATGCTACACCCAAAGAGGATGCCAACAGCCAATGATAGTATTGCCTTTGATGATGGCATTAGTTGAACTTAAGTTGAAGCGTTTTTCATTTCAGAGAGATGTGGACATGTTTGGGGTGATTTTGGTATACCCATTTTCTAAAATCACTTGTATATTATTGTCACACTTTTAAATGCATGCTCTAGCATAATATCGATCGTTTGATAATAAAATACCAGTGATTTTAAAAATGACAAAAGTTCAAACATGCTATTCTGGATTTTTGTTGACATGCATGTATATTGAGCCATTGGTTATGCATTCTTCGATTCCATTACATGATGTTGGGTTGTCAGGTGGCTCATATGTTGCTGAAGGGCAGTGAATGCTAGTAGCTAGATTTTGACTTATCACAGAAACGATTCCATTACATGATGTTGGGTTGTCAGGTGGCTCATATGTTGCTGAAGGGCAGTGAATGCTAGTAGCTAGATTTTGACTTATCACAGAAACAATTATTGGGAACTAAAACATATATTTTTAACTTTCGTACCCTAAATATATACTAGTTCTAAATTATTTCGTAGGTATAGTTTAAATTTTTGTAATTTAAATTTTGAGAGAACGTAAAATAATAAATTGTTATAAAATGTATTTCTCTTCCCACATTTTTCATAAAAAAATTGTGGTAATTTCTATTTCTTCAACGAGTACTGATTGAGAGAAAGACATATGTGACATATTTGAATTACCACAATTATTGGTAGTATCATATTCAGGATTTGAAAGAATACCGTAGTGGGTCTAGCTTTTTTGATTACGCTAGATTTTTGTAATGGAATAGAGTACTATACGTTTCCCAGAAGCACATACACAAAGGGAATTTGGACGATACAAAGAAATTTAACATAGTAAACTTTGATCTAAATTTTCGTCTTAAATCAAAATATATCCGTTCTGGCCCCGATTTTGCGTAACCTCAATTATTAAATTCAATTACTAATTTTAATTTGAAACAATCTATCTCATTCAAATATCACACTGAACTTTTGATATATACGTTCCACCACTAATTCAAGGATCACTTTGAGCTATTTCAAACATCAAATTTACAAGAATCTAAAATCATTAATAGTAAAACTCTTGCAAGAATCAAAAATCACTGATGGTCAAACTCTTAAGTTGATTAATTCGAGTTCAAGTAGGCAACTGAAGAGGAAAAAGAAATAATTATGTCATTAAGAGAAGTATGTATGGATACGCAAACAACTATTCTTAATTTTTCTTAATTTTATTTTTCATTCTAGGTACAATGATATATATAATCATAGATTTCTCAAATATACGAGTGAGAATTTGAACCGCATCCTAAAAAGAGAGATGCACATGTCTCTTCACCATACTTTAACTTGGCATAAGAACAAAGTTCATATTGAATACAAAACAATAGATGAAGTATATATATATGATATCTCTAGGTCTTGCGAGTTTGTAACTTCGTGTAGATGATCATTTGGAGCTCTCTTACACATTCTGCCATTGTTGGTCTTTCGCTACTCTCTGTTCGAACACAACGTGAAGCTAGGTTTGCAAATATGACAATGGATTCCATCGTATAGGAACTTCGACTCATTTCTGGATCTATCACCTTACGTAACTTTCTCCGATCATTCAATATATGCCTTACCTTTAAAAACACATATAAAATCACTCACTATATTATAATTGTTGTAAGTAAAAGCGCTTTTTTCAAAAGTCATTCTATAAATATGGTTTTATTATGTTTACCTGTACGACGAGGTTTTGATCATTTGGGCCCTGGTTCAAGTCCACTGCTCGGCGGCCTGTGAGGAGCTCAAGAAGAACCACTCCAAATGCATATACATCACTTTGCAGACTCAGTTTTCCTGTCTATTATCAAAAACCAACCACTTCAAATTCAAATTCCCACCTCATGAGAGTAGGTTTATCTTAACTACACTCCAATGAATGCTAGATTACACAAAATGCCCTTAACTAATCTATGTAGTTTGTTTCATTTTCTTTAATATCTAATGACAGTAACAACTAGATAAATGAAACTTTTAAAACATTAAAGGGGCAAAATTGAAACCAACTATGTAGATAAATGATATTATTGTATATAATTTATCATTGATTTAGTTTGTGTTTAAAGACATACCGAGGTATACTCAGGATCAAAGTATCCAAACGTGCCGAGGACTCTAGCAGTCACATGCGATTCCTGTCCCTCTGGCATAAACTTTGCAAGCCCAAAGTCTGATATCTATCAAATTACAACAATGAGAGATAACGAATCAAAGACACATGTCAAATCATCACTAAACCCAAAAGTTTAATATGTCCGCCGTAGGTGATGTATTTAATATTTTATTCATATTCTTAACCTTTTGCTTCGAAATTTGCACAAAGATTCAATAAATATGACTTACAATTGTTTAAATTATTTAAAACCTCCTAGTCACCATTAGGCTAAAAATGCAATTTAAAGTTAATAAGTTAATGTATGTTTAACTTTTTTTATTCACATTCTTAGATTCTCACTCTCAATTGTGAATTTGGAAATTTGCAATACAGGTGTTTGAACAATTCAACCGTAACTTTCTACTTTGACACCATGTTAAATTGTCATCAGACCAAAAGCTTAAACAGATCGATTACAACAAGATTTAGTTTACCTTTGCATCGAAATTGGAGTCGAGAAGAATGTTAGTGGATTTGAAATCCCTGTGGACAATAGGCATTCCAGCAGCAGAAGATGAATGGAGATAGGCCAATCCCTTTGCTGCACCAAGTGCCACTTTAAGCCTCCCTTCCCAATCCATCTTTGCTTCTCCAGTTCCTAATCCTACCACCATTACATATATTATTTTAATAATTACTTTGGATTGGATTATAATTAGTAAACTAAACAAAATTAATTAAATTAACGTAACTAACCATTTAAATGTTGTTGGAGGTTCCCTTTATGCATATATTCATACACCAGAAACCGATGCTTCCCATCTGCACAGTACCCTATGAGTGAAACAAGATTTGGATGCTCCAATCTGCTCAGAATGTCAACTTCCACTCGGAATTCTCGCTCTCCTTCTGCTTCTTTGAATGCTGGCAGCTCCATTTTCTTTATGGCTACAACCTAATTCACCATCAAATGTGTCTAATAATTTCTTTCAACTTTTAAATTTTTTGGTCTTCTATAAACTTTTAATTTCAATTTTTGTGTCTATTTAAGTCGTTAAACTCCATCAATCTAATACTTACATGGCACCGTTTGGCTATGTTATTTATAGACTACACACGTGGCTGGTTGATTTTGAACCTAAATTTAAGCTATACTGGTAGAGGAATACTTAGAGTTGAACATATATGGTAAAATAAGACATGGGAAGATTTCGTGTTTGTAGCATTAAGTAATTAAACAAATGGAGTTGAAAATGTAGGAACTTATTAGATACAAAATTGAAAGTTTATGGATTTATTAGATTAATCTTTTTAAAGGAGGGAAACTGAGAATAGATGCAACTTATCTAAATTCAAGAATCTCTTAAAAAAATTTAAAATCCAAAGACTACGGCAATATATTACTACCCTGCTCAAATAGCAAGGATTTACGGTAGGAGAGGCAATTCAAGGTAAAGAATAAACCGCGCTATAAAAAGTTTAGTAGTGGCCATAAGAATTTCTTGAAAGAAAGTATTGTTCAAGACTGAATAAACACAATCCTAAAAGTTGACGAAACTTTTGCGAAATGCGAGTGTGGGAAGGGATAAAGATAGCAAAACAACATACCTCTCCAGAGCGCAAGGTACCTCGGTAAACACGGCCGAAGCCACCTTTACCGAGCAAGTTGTCGTCGCTAAACGAGCATGTGGCCTCTTCCATTTCCCGGAGCGTGAAAACACAAGATCCATGGTGCCTTTTGGTGGGCGTTTGGAGGGTAGTTTGATCCTCAAGTTGCCACAGCTCAACAGGCCTATAGATCCCTGATGAACACAACTTGGTGAGCCAAGAAAAGAATCTGGAAAGGGAAACTTGAAGCTGGTACATCACCATATCATATGCATTAACTAATCTTCAAAACTAACATACAAGGGTCTGAAGAAGTTTGATGATCTTGTGATGATTTATTGCGCCTACGCCTCTTGTTCCAATACGCAGAAACCAAGCCAAAACTAAAAGCCATTCCTCCACCAGATTTCTCTTCACACTTCCCCTCCAAAGGGATTTTGAAATGACAGATTATATTATTTATTTGATTGATTGGTATTGGAAAAATGTGCTTCAAGAAAAAGAAAAAGGAGGAAATTGTAGACAGCAAAAGGTTTGGTTATTGAAAAGGAAATTGAAGCAGCAAATTTGTGTGTAGTGTATTTTGTAGCTTAAGAGTTGGCGGTTGGGAGGTCGTTATCCGTTTTCGTTGAACCTATAATATAATATTATTATTGTTGTTGTTACTGTTTTGGGAGTATTTCACCTATTATACGTTATTATTATATTTCTTTTTCTTACTATTTCCACAAAGTGACTTGTGAAAGATAACTGAATTATTGTTCTTACTTACTAGTGGGTCCTACTTTGGATTCCAAATGGATTGTTATTAGTTCAGGAGAAACAAAATTTTGGGAGGGGCATAAACCAACCGTCCACAACAGAATTGAGGGTTCAGTTTAAGTGGGGGAAAAATTTATTGAAAATGTCTTTTAAATCATGCTCGTGGAACTCCATATTTTTTAGGTAAGGATTTTTTTATCATTTTATTTTTTATTTATTGGTATAGATGTGTCCTAGAACTTTTATGACCGTTGTATGTTGTTGTGTATTGGAAACTGGAAAGTGACTGTCGATGTTGAATTCCACCAAGTGTCGTGGAGTGACGTACACTGAGCCTTAATGAGCTGTTAGCGAGCGAATTGGAAACGAGAAACCTGCAAAAACAGACAGAGCACTCTGACGGTCAAATTAGTTTTGAGTACGAGCTAGGCATATCAGTTTCAGATAGATTTTCAACCTGATTCGATGAAATGGGGGTGTATTTACCGGAGATAAGTGGGAAGTTTCCCATCTTATCAAACTGTTATGACCCATCCCTTACTGTTGACTGCACCTTGTAACATTAAAGCTCATTTTTATGAGCGCGGGTGCGACACTTGTGTGGGGGAATTAAGTCACCGTACTGACCTTGGAGCCCGGCATAGATTTTGACTGTTGAGTTTGGCCCACGTGGCTCTTAACCTCACCTCCCAACATTGGCCCCCTCTCATGTCAGGTCATTGGGCGGCCTACGTGAGAGCAACCTTATGTAGAGGCAATGATGTGGAGTGAGCTTTCACATTCTGACAGCAATGAGAAATGGCTACCAAAAGATCATTCTTTGGGTGCGCCTATCAAGGCATACTCAAGGCGTGCTCAGGTACTTAAACTTTCTGCATTCGCATGATATGGGCGATGATGTGGAGAAGGCTAGCGTATCTAACAGTAGCAATAAATGGTTGTCGGAAGGTCATTCATCAGGTGCGTTTACCAAGTCATACTCGAGTACTTAACCTTTTTGCCTCTACATGATATGAGCCTTTGAATAGATGGCCACGTAGAGGGTTATGTTGGCCTTTTCGAGCTTCAATCATACCATATGTTCTGATGATAACAAACTTAATATACTGATGATTTTGGTGTTTCAAAGTGTCCATAATGTAGAGCTTGAAAAGACGAATCCAACGCAATTTGAATGATTCAAATCGGACTTTAAATGAAGAAGTTATGATCGAATCAAGTCGAACGGAAAATACCCGAGATGATGACGCGGGCGAATCATATGCTGACACATGG